CTCTGCCCACGCGTCTCATTCTCTCTCATACCACCTCACCTCTGCATGCATCACACACATGGCCACGTGTCTCTCCATCATACTACCACCACCACACGTATCCACCTCCTTTTCCGCCACCTGTCCCAGCCTCTCCCCTCGCCGCCGACCATGCAAACGGCCAGAGTTCCCACTGGAGAAATCAAACCCGGCCAGAATCCACCGTAACCACTCGCCAGAACTCATAACGGTCGCCGGAAAACTCATCTCCAAGAATCTTCATCGTCCTCTTCATGATTCTCCAGAAATCTTCACCGTTCCTTCATTCAGACCTCGCCGGAATCATCATCACTTTTCACAAACCTTCACCAAATTTCTAGATCCACCATGTTCTTCAACAAATGATTCAACCACGTTCATCAGAATCTTCCATCCATCATAAGATCTTCGTGTTCATCATCCAAGAACTTCTCCAGATCATCAATCTCCAAAAATTGTTCATTCATCAACATTCAACCGAGTTCATCATCATCTTCCTAAGGAGTTTCCAGTTCTTCATCCCTTTCAACACCGTTTCCCCAGAAATCCATGGAACTTCAAGCTTTCGTCCGTTTACCACTATAACAGAACTATCCTTCAAGAACATTCATCCCTCATTCTCCAGAAACTTCATCGCCGTTCATAACAACCTCCAAGTGCTCAATCGGGTTTCAATAACACTCAACTGTTTCCGGATCTGACTCCATCTCTAACATGCAAATCAAGATCCAAAAGAAAACCTCCTTCAACCTTGCTTCAGCAAACACGAACGAAGCTTCAAAGATCTTCAAGCAATCATGCCATTACAGATCCGTCGTGGCTTCCACGCAGACTCAAGTGTGTCTTGGATTTTCAGTGCGCTTTCACGAAGCTTCGATCAGCAAGATTCTGAACAAGAAGGAGATCTGAGGGATAAAAGGATTGGGATCGGAAGATGGTAGTAATGGGAGAGGTGGAGATGATGGGAGGTTTAACGAGTTGAGACGGTGAGATTGGACGGAGGTTGAGGAATGAACGGTGGGAGTGAGTAAGGAAGGTGAGTTTCAACGGCGGCGCATCTGAGGGTGAGAGAGGAAGAAACTAGGGTTCCAGATTTGGTTTGGGAGAAGTGAGAGAGGCGATGATGGTCCTGATTGGTTCGTGGGCCTTAGGGCCCAATTTCAGTTTTGGGCATTACACCCCCCGTACCCATTCGCACCCCCTCTGGAATGTTTTTTGTTGATTGTTGGGCTGAGCCCAACGTTTTCTAGACTCACCTGCACCCTGCATTCCACGCGTACACCCCCCATTTCCCTTGTTCTTTATTTTTTTCTGGCTGTATTATGGGTTGGGCCCAGAGTGGTGATTTCTGCATTTTACACCCCTGTTTTCAGAATGTACCCCTCTCCTTTGTTTTTTAATTTTTCTTTTGTATTGGATGTTTAATTGTAATAGTTGTAGATTTATTTTGCTATTTTTCTTCTTAGGAATTATAGTATAGAATAGTATAAGCATATTTTTAATATAGATTTTATATGGTAGAATTTATATTCCCTTTTTCTTTTAGGAAATTTTAGGATATTATAGGATATTTTAGATAGAATTTTTTATGTTATTTTTCATACGCATTTTCTTTATATTTCTTTAGAGTGTTTTCTATTAGAAATTAATTGCTAATTTTAGGAGTAGAGCTTTATTTCCACTCGTTAGTGGATTTCTCTCCTATTTTCTCTCCTCATTTCTTTTCTAACCGATTTTATCTTCGATTTTATTCCGGGCTGGCCGTGTGACATGATTCAATTGGAGAATGATTTTCAATATCGTTTCTCTATCTTGTCTTTGACACGGATATCAATACGCAACCTCTTAGAGTTCGATTTCTCGTATAAGTTGAACCATGACGGTCTAAGCGTTACAGTGGTCCTGATTCGAGCGTCCTCATCAAGGATCCAGAGAGGAGAAGATTGGAATGGAGCTTGCGCACATGTCAGAAGCCAATGGAGCCGCTTCGTTTGATATTTTCTTTCTTATTCGAGTCTTCGTGCAACTGTCGAGTGTTGTGAGTTGTGGCGTTAGATACATGGGAAATGACAATCGAGCGGTCTCCCCTCGATCATTTAGAGTGTTTAGTATATATTCCTCAGGTGATATACAACGCACTCGCTCCTACGTATTAGGTTCTTGCGTGTGTGTCGCGAGTTCCTTCCCATTTAGGCGTGTTAGGCCTGCTTTCTCTTTGTTCTCGCCCCGTGAGATCGAAACCCTTTTCTCTTGCATTCAGGCGATTGAGACCCCTTCTTTTGCCCCTGTGCAATCGAGACTCGTTTTCCCGCCGAACTACGTTTGCTCTAATCTCTCGTACCAGACGAGTGTACGTAGGCATAGGATGCGATATCCTAGCGAGCTCCCTTCTCCCTTTTCCCTGTTTTGCTGTAGTTGGGTGAACTACAACTTCTCTGATTTCTCATACCAGACGAGAATATGTAGGCATAGGATGCGATATCCTAGCGAGCACACTAACAACTAACTTCTCTGTTCTCTCGCTGCTGTGCGATCGAGACTTTCCCGCTAACGACTAATCTATCCTTTTCTCTTGCCCGAGCGCAATCGAGGCCAGACCGTAGTTCTAAGTCCCGTAGGTTCCCATATCTTCAAACCCGACATACTACGTCCGTTCTACCGCAAACAGGTAACGCCTAAGTCTCCGTCGAGTGAGCAGCATACACCTAACTGCTAGAATGCGTACGCTAGTATCGTCAACCCTTTCTCTCACCCCCGTGTGATCGAGAACACCCTGTCTACCCGTAGTTAACCTGAACTACGTAAGCTCTGATCTTTCATGCTGTGTGAAAGTACGTAGGCACGAGATGCGATATCTCGGCGAGCAAATTCCCCCGTAGTTTCCCGAACTACGTAAGCTCTGATCTTTCACGCCGTGTGAAAGTACGTAGGCACGAGATGCGATATCTCGGCGAGCAAATTCCCCCGTAGTTTCCCGAACTACGTTGACTCTGACTTTCCCATTGCACGAGAGAATACGTAGGCATATAGCGCGACGCTCTATCGAGTCAGTTTCTTTCCGTTTAGCTTTAGCAGCCGTAGATAGATTGTTTTTCACCCGTAGACAAACCAGCAAGCGTGGATCCCATCGAGTACGATGGACGTGAGGGGTGCTAATACCTTCCCCTTGCGTAACCGACTCCCGAACCCAGACAATGGTTGCGATGACCATTCCTTTACCTTTGCGTCAGGTTTTTTTCGATCGTTTCCTTTCCCGTTCTGAGGGATAAATAACGAAAGGTGGCGACTCTTCTGTTTTGCCGGCCTCGTTTTTCGCAGTAGCGACAATAACATGTCACAACATCTGTCAGAATATCTGACAAGAAAAGTAATAGCAGACTCCGTTGTACCAGTTGGTCAAGATGTCATGACATCTTGCTCAACACCTAGCTGTGATACATGTTTTTTCAAATTAAACACGTTTTACCAAAATTGTTGTCAATCATAAAATCACAGACCTAACAATCCCCCCTTTGGCAAATTTTGACATCATAAAATCACATACCTAACATACCTTATGTGTTTTTGAATGTTGTGAAGAATGAAAGTAAAACGAATAAAAACAAAGAACTTGAAGGTCGTAAAGTATCAACAAGGGTCGTAGGAATCACAAGGAGAAGAAGCAAATCATTTTTTTTGCTGAAAGAGGAAAGAAGTCAAAAGTGTAAACCAATGCCAAGTTTGCTATTTATAAGCATAGAAAGCAAAGATCAACGACAAATGATTAATGGACAATTAAAAGCCACTGTCAACGGTCAGGCTTAAATCTCGATTCTATAAAGGCACTCAAGTGCCTTAAGCGTGTCACATATTCCTACCTTAAGTGCAGGAGGATATGTAGTGATCGTTTCCTAGGCAATGCTTCATAGACACGATGAGCATTAAAATTGCATGTTTCCAATGCCAATTATTCCCTCTCAGCATCACAAAAGAGTCCTTCGCCTTTCCGAGGTATCCTCTCAACAAATTTACTCCCTCAACAAATTAAGTCTTTCCGGGAGTGTCCTCTCAACAAACTTACCCCCTCAACAAATTAAACTAGTATCATAGATGTCAATATCAAGATTTCCACCTCTCTCAAAACTAACTTAAACATTAAATTGCTAATCTTGCAAGTATCCATCTCTAATACCAAAGATTTCGTTAAATTGTAGTTAATACAAATACCAGCTCTCATAAATGCTTCATAACATGGCAAATTATGAGAAGCTAGGTACTAAAAAATTGTAGTTACTACAAAAAGGAAAAAAAAAAAAAAACATTGTCTACTTGAAACTAGTTAATGACAAAAAGGAGAAAAAACAACACTGTCTACTTGAAAGCTAATATTTATATAAAGAAAAAAGAATGCAATATCTTTCTTTCTTTTTCACTTGTTTTGCTACTTTTATACATTAGAGTTCGCAATGGACATATGACATGTCTTAAACTACATACAGGTCAGATTTTGCTGTAAACCATGATAAAGTGGTGTTGTAAAGAAAGACTAGCAAACTTCTGTGTTAAGTTATTAATGATACATTTATTTGACCCTTGTTTGATCTTAAATATAAGATTCTCTAGAAATTTTTAGATACATTTATTTATTTTTTAAACATACCTCTTATTAACAATAAACAATTTATCTAATATAACATGTAAATATTACAAAGAACTCTCAATCTAATCCAAATCATAGCATATGAATCTTGCAATAGTAGTTGCAGCAAAAGCTAGTCCAAAACTGCAAAATTTTACATCAAATTTCTTACAGAGGGTAGGTACTCTAAACAAAATAGACTTCAAATCACATTTATGCCAAATATTTCGGCCTAAATTCTATTATACATTATTCCATTCAAACTCAAAGAAACTTAAGACATTTTTTCATGCATGTGTACAACAATATATATACCTATTAACCTCTACAATAAAAAATGATTCAACTATATGTCAAAAAGAATCTAAAAGTTTTCTTTATGAAAATCAAACTTGGTGCCACTTTTTCTGGAAAAATCCAAAGAATATTTTCTTAACTCTCCAACCAATCCGTGTGCTCCGCAGTAAAAAACACCTATATAAGAATAATATAAGGTATAATGTAAACAAATTAGCAAAAAAAAATGTTAACTTAAAAATTTTAAGAACTAAATTAATTATTAAGAGTAAAATCAATACTTACCAACTCTTTTATCAGGGTGTTTAAGAGCAACATGTTTATAGACATTACGCCAATTCGGCCTAGCAAAATGTGTCTTAACCCTTGTCTCCGAAACTACATCCACGCCACTTTTGGCATGGTGAAGCGATTGAAGCATCGTGATCAAAGCTGAACGAGCATCGCCTTCTTCATACACGCTTGTGCAATAATTGTGAAGCTCAATTACACCTTCCTTATCATTCTCTGCTATCTCATTCATCACTCCTTTAAACCATTCAAACGAACCTTGCTCGCGTGTAACCCAATAGAAATAGGCTCGTTTGGTTGCAAAAGGCTTTTTCTTATTGCTCATGACCCTGCTTTCTACCTCTCCTTCTTCTAAATCTTCTTCTTGTTGCTTAATGTTGTTTAGCACATCTTTGAGTATGCTTATCAAAGGCGTTGCGCCGATTCCTAAACCTACTAGAAGAAGTACTTCGTAGTTTTTGTAGTCTTGTGCTGGTGCTCCATAAGGTCCATCAATTCTTAGCCTTGGCATCCTACAATTTGTTTGAGAATTTAATTCATATACAATACATGATTAATGTAAAGATTCTTTGCACGGTCAATTTTCGTTATATACATATACCTCGGTAGGCTTGGTTTGCCCGGTAGCATATCAGCGCGCAGAAGACCGCTTTGGCCATCATTTGCTGGTTGGCACGCCTGCATAAATCATGATGATGCAAGTAATTTATGTTATGATGAACATCAACATCATTAAAGAAATGTATACAACTTATAGTATTACTTGAATCTTGCGTATAAGTATTTTACCTTGGCGAAAATACCCTTGAGTTGCGATGTCCAATCACCCAAAGTTCTAATGTGAACACTTATATAATCATCTCCAGGAGCTGATGTTATAGAAAAGGGATGCCTAGAGACACATTGCAATAAAAATTAACATCATATTTTTACAAATGGTAACAACAATATAAGAAGTTTGAATTTAAATTAGGCACATACCACTCAAATGGAGAAATATCTGAACAATTAACATAAATATACTGTCCACTAGTATACTTAAATCCTTGTGGTTTCGACACATGCAATGCCAGTACGTTTCCCGGGTACACCGCAACCTTCAGTATCTTGACAGATTTGTAACCAGATCTAAATGCGCGAAGTAGTCGTTCGCATCCGTATAGTATCATAGGAACTGCGAGATACATCCATGTCTATGTCACAAAATTTTGTAACAAAAAATTAGCAAACTGAAAAACAAATGAAATGGAATTAAAAACACATTGGTTTGAGTAAGAGGATGTACCGTTTTCTTATACCATTTCTTGCTAAGGTAAAGGAAGTATCCATGAATGATAAAAAGCACATAGACAATGACAAAAAGGTGATGAGAATACCAAAATGCATTAAAGCCAGTGAGTTTCTTGAGGGGTTTTGGAAGGTTAAGTCTATTACGACGGAACCAAGGTTGGGCTAAAACGAAAGCTATAGCCATAAGAACAACAATGACGACCCCGGTCCACCCCTCGGTCCCTTTAACGAACCACCAATAATTATTAGGCCTTTGATTGCCGAAAAATTGTTTCATGGGTTCATATTCTTCATCTGTTGCATGCAATAGCCTTGGAAAGTCACAGGTCAAATGTGAAATTGCATGTAACCCAACCCCAATAGCAATGCCAAAAGCTATCACCTTATGAAAGTTGATATTATCATCAAACGGAACCGCCATTCCAAGCTTGGTCTTGCTCCTAAGCCAAGTAATAGTGTTTCTACATACAGGTAACAAGATTAAAGCCATGTTGAACTTGAGTGTCTCCGCGCCGCCCTTAGCCGTGGTGACACAATAGCCCATGACATGGAAAACGGCGCGACGCTTGTATTGAATGAACTTCCAAGTGAAAAGTGCTGCACAAATGGAAAGCCATAGAGATATGATCCAAATACGTTTCCAGTTATCCTCCATGAAATAGGATAGTTCTCTAAAAGCTCGTTTTATAGGGTTGTGTTCTTTGGTAGGGACTAACTTCTGGCTCAACATTTGGCTTAACACTCTACTATCTGTAGTAATGTGTGCTGATTGGGCTGGTGCTTGCAAAAGAAGCATTTCCAAGTTGTACAACTGCAGAAAATGACAAAAACTTAACATAGAATAACAGGTGTCGCCGTGTCGACTTGTCAGTATCGGTGTCTACGTCAGTGCTGCATAGATTAATTCAAAAAAATATTTATTTTAAAGACCTCAATATATCCAAGGTTGTTTGGGTCCAGCTCCTCCATGATAAGGGCAGCATATTCCTCTGCTCGTTCTTGTAACTTTGATAACTTATTCGCCGATGCACTTAATGTGATAATCTGAAGGAAAAAAAAAACGATAACGGTAACAACTTCGAACCTGCACCCTGCAGTAAGAGCACCTCCAATGGTGCAACCCATTTTTAGGTTCTTTATGGGACCCACTCTTTTAAAGCAACTCATTCAATTTTCACTCTAATGGTGCAACTTCAAAGAACCCATATTGGGTCCCACCACTTTATTTAAAATATATTATTTATATTAAATTTATTTTATTTAAAATTATAATTTAAATATTTAAATTTTAATTAATATAAATACAAATTAAACATTAAATTAAAATTAAACATTAAATTAAAATTAAACATAAAATTGAAAATAATAATTAAAATTAAATTTAAATACATGTCACATAATTAAAAACAATAAAAATAAATAACATCATATAATTAAAAACAATAAAAATAAATAACATCACATAAACAAATGTAATTTGAAATAAAAAGATGAAAATTTGGCCTAAACAAATGTAATTTGAAATAAAAAGATGAAAATTTGAAATAAAATGATAATGAGAAGAAATTGTTGGAAAAAAATTAAATATTTATGAATAAAATGATGAAATTGTGAGAGAGAAATTTGAAATTAAAGAGCAAATAAAAAGGAGAGAAAATAGGAATAAAAAAGAGAGAAAATAAGAATGATATAAATTTTTTCCAACAAACCTATATTTATAATAAATAAAAAAGTTAAAAAAATAAAATAAAGTTAAATGATTATTTTAATAATAAACCAAATGAAGAACGTTGCTTATGTTTGTAACGTTCTATAGCTGGAATAACATTTTGTTGACATTTTCAATGCCAAACTGGCAAACCAATTTGAAAAACCACCGTTTGAGTTGGTCTTATATTTTTGCACAACTATCATAGTAAATTTCTATAATATAATAATTCACCTAATAATAATAATTTCTTGAAATAATAATAATTTAATAACTCACCTCTATTACTTCTTCTTCTATAATTCTTCCATCAGCATTCTTGTCCACCCTGGCACATGAGTGAAGACTATGAGTAAGAGGATAAGTTGTTAAAAATAACAGTATTTTTGACATTAGGCTCCAAAATATTCTTTTATTTTGACTAAAGTTACGCATACGTGATGTTGTTCAAATCATGCTGAGTCATTCCAAGTATATTTTTCTACACTCAACAACCTAACCAATATTGATAATTAAATTACTTGATCCATGCTGCATGCATATGACACTCTTTTCGGTTTTGTTTGTTTTACTTTACTTTTTAATTCTTATAATAAACTTTGTTCAAAGTAACAATGAAGACTGAATAAATAATTCCATTAATAAAGAACTAAAAATAATTTTAATAAAAAAAGTACATTAATTATGGTTTCAAAAAATTCCAATATTAAATGATTATTATTTCCCAACACTAAAAGATTGTTCATTTAATATTCCAATATTTAATGAAGTGGATTGAAAAAATTATGCTTCGATTACCCATAATTATTAAATTGTCTTTTCAGAAGAAAAAAGGTATGCAGTGGATTGGAAAACTAGATTAAAAATATGATAAATTCTTAAGTACTCATTACCACTATTTGGGTATGGTACCTTTCATAAGTGTTTCAATAAAAATTAATCATGTGTTTTTTTGGCTTGCATTTTGATCTGACCTGATCAGGAGGGATCACGGACTGGCCACGCTTCGCCGGACGGTTATCTGTTCGCCGAGGTAAGAATGAGGAGGGGGTGTACCTGCAAAGCACTCCGACGCCCAAGTAAGAAGTTGGACAGAGAGGAAGCAATAGTACAGAAAAGGGGGGCAAGAAGAGTTACCTGACCCTCTTGAAGAAGAGGGTATTTATAGAGAGACCCCAGCGCTGGGCCAACGGTCATTCGAGGTGGGCCAGACGACCAGGCCCAACCCTAATGACTGCTAGGGCTTACGTGGCGTAGTGAAGACCAGGACGTGGTCTTCGCCCTAGTTCAACCGCTCCTAGGTCTCCGGAAAGTGGGTTTGACCTGCTCTTTCGGAGGTGGGCGGTTGGCCGATGACGTGTCCCCGCGGAGGGGAGCACGTGGAGAACGTGCGCCGAGCACGTTATTCTCCCGCGGAGGGAGCCCGGGTAGTCTCGCTCGTCTGGTGTGACGGACGACGAAGGGGAAGCGGCGTGATGGCTTGTGCCCGGCGGACGGTCCTGCTCGTCCGAAGGGGCGTGTGCCAGGTGTGCTCAGTTCGCCTGTTGGGCCGTATTTGGTATTGGGCCTGCCGAGGTGAGGCCCACACCGGAACAGGAGCCCCCCAAGTCGAAGCTCTGGGGAAGAGCGAGGACTTAAGGTCGTCATGTCTGGAGCGGGGGACTCGTGCGAAGGGCTCCGGTCGTCGGTAGAACGGGGAGGAGGCAGATGGAGAGACGCGACTGTCAGGCTGCTTCCACGTGTCTTGCGTTGAGCGGTCGTAGGGGCGGCTAACCTATGTCATTAATGAGCCTAGGGTCGCTTCGAGCCTCGCGCCGGGTTATAAATATGGCGGTCCCCGCTCATTCTGCTACTTTTCTCCCTGTTGATCTTTCATCGTCTCTGCCCGTCCGCCGTTCGCCGCCGATCAACGCCGTGCCATTCGCTTTTTCTTCCGTCCGCCGCCGTTACAAGTGAGTTCCTCTTCTCCCTCTCTTTTATTTTCGTCGTCTAACTGGGACGTGTGGTCGGGGCGCGATGAGCGCCCCGAGGAGGGATGCGAGTTCCGCCGCGTCTGGCGAGTTTTCCGATGAATGTCCCGGGGACGGTAGGCTAGTTCCGATGCATGCCCCGGGGACAGGAGCTTTTTCTGATGAATGCCCCGAGGACGGGGGCTTTTCTCCGATGAATGCCCCGAGGACGGGGGCTTTTTCTGATGAATGCCCCGAGGACGGGGGTTTTTCTTCGATGAATGCCCCGAGGACGGGGGCTTTTTCTGATGACTGCCCCGGGGAGAAGTATCTTCTCCGACGGCCGCCCCGAAGGGCTGAGGGGTCGTTCTTCGATCCCCGAGGAGGGTAGGCGGGGAGCGAATGTCTGCTCGCCGCCCCTCGGCCTTTGTCGCCCTTTCACTTGACTTGCGGTGGAAGGGTGGATTTGATCCTGGCTATCGAATTCACCGAGGTCCTCTGCTTTCAGGTGTAGATGTCGGCTCTGGTGCCGGGGATAATGGTTGAAGATGATGAACCCGAGGTCCCGGAGTATGACGACGGGCGCGTCTCCTTGCCCGAGGAGTGGGCAGCCGAGGAGCCACTTACCATCCCTTCTTGTTTTGTGGTCGACCCGTCCGACGTGTATGCCACGGTCGAGGACACGCCGCTAGGAGAAACGCAACACTGGCAGGTGTATCGCCCGAAAGCGCACCATCGGATCTGTTCGCGCTATGGGCGGAAGATGTTCCCGATGTATGAATTTTATTTTAAAGAAGCTCGGCTCCGGTTGCCGTTCTCTGCCTTCCATCTGGGGATTTTTGACTGGCTGCGTCTTGCCCCGTCTCAGCTGCACCCGAACGCTCTGGCTTTCATCCGGGCATTCGAGGTGGTGTGTTTCTACCTCTCGGTGGAGCCGACGGTGCCGTTGTTCTTTCGCATCTTTCATTTGCAGCGGCAGACGGTGCGAGGTCGTCACGGATGGGTCTCTTTCAAACAATCGACCAAAATTTTTAAAGCGTACAGTGATTCTGTCAAAGACTTCAAGGGTCGGTTCTACCTCGTCAAGCCGATCACGCAGCACGGCTCGGACACTCTCTTTGACGAGGGCGAGCGCACGGTAGACGGCCAGTGGTTCCGAGCGTGGCTTCCCAAGATACATCTGCTGTGGACCTCGGAGCATTTCAGTCGAGGGACGGATAGGTATATCGTCCGGGCGGGAACCCTCGAGGAGAAGGACATGGCCGCTTATCTGAAAATAATTGCCTTTGTGCGGTCACTTCCCCCGTCGAAGCTGGTGACGCCCGACGGTCGGTACATCCTCGATGCCCAGGGGAACGTACGCACTAAAAAGCGTTTGATAAATACTAAGACTTTGCTCGGCTGTGCGACCGGGGCGGCCGCTCTAGATTATCTAGGTAGGGATGTTTCGTTTTCCCTCGTTGTCGGGGTTTTTGATCGTCGCTAACCTATTTCTTTGTTTTTGCAGCGAACATGTCTACTGTCGACGAGCGGGTGAAGCAGTTGCGTGCTGCCAGGAGTGCCGGGGTCCCGAGGACGAGGGTGAGTCAGCTGGTCAGTCAGGAGGTCGCGACGCAGGGGGGCCAAACTTCGTCCTCGTCGCCTCAAGAGAGCCAATCCCCTGTGTCCCAAGGAGTGTCGAAGAGGCAGAGGTCCGAGGAGCCTCGGGTGGTGGATCTGACGGTCGGCGCCGTCGAGGAAGGTTATGTCGTCCCTCCCTGCCACCAGCACCCGGGGTATTTTCATGGTGCCCGTTCCCCCACCGTTTCCGCCGGGGAGGTGAAGGCTGTTCGCCAGGCTGATCGGGAGGCCCGTCGGCGTGTCCTGGCTGAGGACTTGGCCGCGATGATGCGGACGTTTACGACGGCTCTCGTGCTGAACGAGGAGGGCTGCTCTGCTGCTGAGCTGTCCAAACTGCAAGGGGATCTCACCTTTACGCAGTCGCGGTTGGCCAAGCTCACTGAGGAGTTGGAGAAGAGCCAGAAGGACGTTGCCGAGGAGCGGAAACGAGCAGAGGGTGCTGAGGGGAAGGTGAGTTCGCTGGAAGAGAAGCTGGGGATGGCGACGGCCGAGGTGCAGGCGCTGAAGGTTCGTACTGAGGTTCTGGACAGCGCTGTTCGTCCGGCCGAGGACGAGACTGAGGGGGATCGGCGTTTAATCACCCGTGCTGACTTGATCGCCCGTATCCGGGTGTTGGAGAGCGATTGTCTGGAAGCCGTTGAGGTCGGGTTCAAGAATGCGGTCGAGCAGATTCAGGTCGCCAACCCTGGTGTCGAGCTGGTCGTGGACGGGATAGGGCCGTACCACGAGATCGTTGATGGAAGGGTGATCGATCCTTATTTCGTTATCCCCGACGAGGAAACCGTGGCTGCTGACCGAGCTGATGAGGAAGTGTAGGTTGCCGGGCCTGCGTGCTCGTTGTTTTGTGGCCTGCGTGCCGGTGTTTATCTTTTGCTTTGGGCCTGCGTGCTCGTTTTTGTACTATTGACTACTGGGCTGGTGCCCGCTTTTGTTAAATATATTTATCATGGATTTTCTAAGTGTGCGCTCGTTGTTTGCATGTTGTTTTATGCTCGTTTTTCGTATTTGTTCGAATGCCTTTGATGTGTATGACATTTCTTGTAGATTTTCTAAGTGTTCGCTCGGTGTGTTTAGCTCGACAATTTGTTACCGGTAGTGTAGGGGACTGGCCGGTTTGGCCGGGGATGTAGCCGGGCCTTTTCGGGGGTAGTTTTCCCCGGGGCGTGGACGGCCCATCGCGAGCTGGGTGTCCTGCCTGTTTTGGTACGGCGACGAGGGGCCTCGGTCGAGGTATTCCCTGCCGAGCAAGGCCTTCTGCCCGCGCACACGAGAGGCAGGGCTTGCTTTCTTTGGTCGTTGGTGGACGCGGGGGTGTGCGGTGGTACCATGTCGCCCCCCCAGTGGCCGGGACGATTGGTCGTCGCGGGCAATGTGTTAACTGTAGTACCGCTTAAGCTTCGCGGCGTTCCATGGTCGAGCTAATTGTTCACCGTGCAGGTTTTCGAGGTAATAGGCCCCGTGTTCCGTTTTGTCCCGGACTCGGTATGGGCCTTCCCAGTTCGCCGCCAGTTTGCCCTCGTGGGAGTCCTTTTGATTTCTGCGTAGAACTAAGTCTCCAGTTTGAAAATCGCGTTTTATGACTTTGTGGTTATGGCGAAGTGCTACTTGTTGCTTCAGCCGGGCTTCCCGGAGGGCTGCTCCTGCGCGGATTTCTTCGACGAGGTCGAGCTCTTCTCGGAGGGAGCCGTCGTTGTCGTCGGTGTCTAGGGGAGCTTCCGTTCGTCTGGACGGTTCGCGGATTTCGACCGGTATTACGGCC